AAGACAGTACAGTAACACAGAAGACCAGTACAGTAACACAGAAGACCAGTACAGTAACACAGAAACCAGTACGTAACAAAGACCATTTACAGTAACACAAAGACCAGTACAGTAACACGAAGACCAGTACAGTAACACAGAAGACCAGTACAGTAACACAGAAGACCAGTACAGTAACACAGAAGACCAGTACAGTAACACAGAAGACCAGTACAGTAACACAGAAGACAAGTACGTAACACAGAAGAAGACAGTACAGTAACACAGAAGACCAGTACAGTAACCACAGAAGCCAGTACAGTAACACAGAAGACCAGTACAGTAACACAGAAGACCAGTACAGTAACACAGAAGAACCAGTACAGTAACACAGAAAGACCAGATACTCAGTAACACAGAAGACCAGTACAGTAACACAGAAGACCAGTACAGTAACACAGAAGACAGTACAGTAACACAGAAGAACCAGTACAGTAACACAGAGACCAGTACAGTAACACAGAGACAGTACAGTAACACAGAAGACAGTACAGTAACAACAGAAGAACACAGAAGCCTACAGTAACACAGAAGACAGTACAGTAACACAGAAGACCAGTAACAGTAACACAGACGCCGTACAGTAAACAGAAGACCAGTACAGTAACACAGAAGACCAGTACAGTAACACAGAAGACCAGTACAGTAACACAGAAGACCAGTACAGTAACCACAGAAGACCAGTACAGTAACACAGAAGACCAGTACAGTAACACAGAAGACCAGTACAGTAACACAGAAGACCAGTACAGTAACACAGAAGAACAGTACAGTAACACAGAGACCAGTACAGTAACAAGAAACGTACAAACAAGAAGACCAGTACAGTAAAAGAAGACCAGTACAGTAAACAGAAGACCAGTACAGTAACACAGAAGACCAGTACAGTAACACAGAAGACCAGTACAGTAACACAGAAGACCAGTACAGTAACACAGAAGACCAGTACAGTAACACAGAAGACCAGTACAGTAACACAGAAGACCAGTACGTAACACAGAAGACCAGTACAGTAACACAGAAGACCAGTACAGAAACACAGAAGACCAGTACAGTAACACAGAAGACCAGTACAGTAACACAGAAGACCAGTACAGTAACACAGAAGACCAGTACAGTAACCAGAAGACCAGTACAGTAACACAGAAGACCAGTACAGTAACACAGAAGACCAGTACAGTAACACAGAAGACCAGTACAGTAACACAGAAGACCAGTACAGTAACATAAGACCAGTACAGTAACACAGAAGACCAGTACAGTAACACAGAAGACCAGTACAGTAACACAGAAGACCAGTACAGTAACACAGAAGACCAGTACAGTAACACAGAAGACCAGTACAGTAACACAGAAGACGACCAAGTTACAGTAACACAAGAAGACCCGGTACGGTAACACAGAAGATCAGCAAACCTCCCCCCCCCTATAGTACACACAGAAGCCCACCAGCCCCATACCAGTAACAAAGAAGACCCAGCTGACAGTTAACACAGAAGCACCAGCTACAGTAACACAAGAAGCACGACGTACAGTAACACAGAAGCCACCAGCTACAATAACACGAAGACCCAGCCCCTTACAGTAACACACGAAGACCAGAATACATATAACACAGAAAGACACAGATACAAAGTAACACAGCAAGCACCAAAGCTACAGCCTAACACCGGAAGAAAAAAAATCCAGTACAGTAACAAAAGACTAGCTACAGTAACACCAAGACTAGTACAGTTAACACAGAAGACAGGTACAGTAGTCACAGAAGCACCACAGCTCAGTGATAACACAGAAGGATCAGTACTAGTAAACAGAAGCACCAGTACCCCAAGTAATCACAGAAAGAAACCCAGCTTACAAGTAAACAAAGAAGCACCAGCCCCTTAAAAGAATAATCACCAGAAGCCCCCAGTACAGTAACTCAGCGCAGAAGACCAAGTACAGTAACACAGATAAGACCCAGTCCCCACAGTAACACAGAGGCACCCATGCTACAGTTAAACACAGAAAGTCCCGTTAACAGTAACACAGACTGCCATGCACAGTTTGTAACACAGCAAGACATTACAGTAACACCCCAGAAGACCTAAGTACAGTAATCACAGAATGACCCAGCTACAGTATCACAAGACCCAGCTACAGTCAGTAACACAGAATGACCAGTACAGTAAACACAGAAGACACAAGTACAGTAACACAGAAGATCTCTAGTATCAGTAACAAGAAGACAGCATCTACCAGTATCACAGCAATGCACCAGCTACAAAGCTAACACAGAAGCACCAGCTACCAGTGACACCAAGACACCAGTACAGTAACACAGAAGATCCCAGCTACAGTAACACAGCCAAGACCAGTACAGCTAACGCAGCAAGACCCACAGTACCGCCCTAAAACAGAAGAGACAATAATGCACCCTACCAAGTAACACAAAGACAAGTACAAGCTACCACAAGAAGACACAGTACAGTAACCAAGCAAGCCACCAGCCTATAAAATAGCCAACCTAGTAACACAGAAGCCACCAGCACTACAGTAACACTGAAGACTGCCCCCCGTACTAGTAACACGGCCAAGACAGTTCACCAGTACACACTGAAGCACAGCCCCTACCAGTAACAACAGAAGCCACCACGTACCAGTAACACCAGAAGACCCCCAGTCTACACAGTGACACACGAAAGTCCAGTCTAATACAGTAACACAGAAGACCAGCCCTACAGTAAACAGAAGACAATCGATCTCCCTACAGTAACACAGAAGCACCAGTACTAGTAACACAGAAGACCCAGTACAGTAACACAAGACAGAAAAAAAAACAAAAAAAAAAACAACATCCCCCTCTTGTAAACACAGCAACTACCAGCTACCAGATAACACAAGAAGACCAGCACCCTACAGTAACACAGAATCGATCACAGTACAGTAACACAGAAGCACCCAGCTACCGGTAACACAGAAGACAAGCTACCCAAGTAACACATGAAGGACCAGTAGAGTAACATCGAAGACCTAGCTATAGTAACACAGAAGACCAGCCTACAGTAACACAGAAGACCCCGTACAAAGTAAACACAAGAAGACATCATGTACAAGATCAACACAGTAAAGACCAGTACATGTAACACAGAATACACCTAGCCCTACCAACGTAACATAGACGACAAAAAACATTTGTACAAGTAACACAGAAGACACAGCTACAGTAACACAGAAGCACCATCAGCCTACAGAAACACAAGAACGATCGCCGTGCCCAGTAAACACACGAAAGATCAGTACTAGCCTAACACAGAAAGATCAGCTACCGTAACACAGAAGACCAGTACACAGTAATCACAGAAGACATCAGCTACAGTCCTAACACAAGAAGCCAGCTTGCACTGAGTCAACACAGAAGACCAGATACCAGTAACACAGAAGACCAGCCCACTACCATACAGTAACACAGAAGAAAACAGCCCCCCCCCACATTTACACAGAAGATCAGGTACTCCAGTAACAAGAAGACCAAGCTACAGTAACACAGCAAGCCACCACAGCCCCCCCTACAGTAACACAAGCAAGACAGCCCCCTACAGTAACACAGAAGACCAGCTACAGTCAACACAGAAGACCAGTCCCCACCCACCACCCCCTCTACAGTAACACTGAAAGACCAGTACAGTAACACAGAAGACCAGCTACAGTAAAACAGCAAAGACCACCTCTAGCTTACAGTAACACAGAAGACCAGCAACAGCCTAACACAGATGAACTATACAGTAATCAATAACACAGAAGCATCAGACACTACAGTAACACTGAAGCACCCAGTACAGTAACACAGAAGCACCTAGTACAGTAACACAAGCCCAGCATTACAGTCAACACAAGATAGCACCCAGTACAGCTAACACAGAAGACCCAGTACAGTAGTCACACACGAAGATCAGTACAGTAACACAGAAGACCCACACCAAGTACCAGTAAACACAGAAGCCACCAGTACAGTAACAAGAAGCCACCACCTGCCTACCTGGTAACACAAAAACCAGTACAGTATACAAGAAGACCATACTTAACACAAGCAAAGCACCAAGCTAACTTGCTAACACACGCAAGACCAGTACAGTAACACAGAAGCCACTGATAAGTAAGCAACAGAAGACCAGTACAATAAAACAGACAATACACAGTTACAAGTAAACAAAGAGGCCAGTACAGTAACACAAGCACTAAACAGTAAAGTAAAACAATGACTAGTAAGTAACACAGAGATAAGACCGCGAACAGCTAAAACACAGAAGCACCAGTACAGTATCACAGAAGATCAGCCTAACAATCAGGTAACACAGAAGCCTACCAGCTACAGTATCACCAAGACC